ACCAGTATGAACTGTCAGTGATGGTGAAAAGTCATGCGTGTACAGAGTAACAATAGCGTCCATTTTCTCTCCCACTCTTCTCCCACTTGGTTCCAACATGTTTTGAGACAAAAGGTGCCTTTGACTTTTGACTGAATGGATGCTTTTCTTTAACTTTTTTTCTGTTGCTGTGTCCTCAGTGCCAAACTGCAAATATTAACAATTAATACAACAGTGTCAGTTTGATGACATAAGATTGACTCCTTGTCATGGTAGTCAGATCTGAGTGAGCAGACAGGTCTGATTTTAACACTTCAGGAGCCAGATTGGAACTAAAAAGGAGGCCATGCAACAGAAATCTATTTGGCTGTTTGTACTGATTAGAAATCATCAAATCACAGTCCATCCATCCATCCATCCGTCCGTCTGTCCGTCCGTCCATCCATCCATCCATTTCCATCTGCTTATCCAGGGCAGGGTCCTGGGGGCAGCAGGCTAAGCAAAGCGCCCCAGACATCCCTCTCCCCAGCAATGCTTTCCAGCTCCTCATGGGGTACCTCAAGGCATTCCCAGGCCAGTGTGTTCTGGGTCTGCCCTGGGGCCTCCTACTTGTGGCACGTGCCCAGAACATCTCCAACGGGAGGGGCCCTGGAGGCATCCTGATCAGATGCCCGAACCACCTCAACTGACCCCTTGCAGTGCGAAGAAGCAGCGGCTCTACTCCAAGCTCCCTCCGGATGCCCAACATTCCTTACCCTATCGCTAAGGATGAGCTATGACACCCCATGGAGGAAACTCATTTCAGCCGTTTGTATCCGCGATCTCATTATTTCGGTCACTACCCAGAGCTCATGACTATAGCTGAGGGTTGGGACGTAGATGGACCAGTAAATCCAAAGCTTCACCTTCCGGCTCAGCTCCCTCTTCACCACGATGGTCCAGCACAGCGTCCGCATCACTACAGACGCTGCGCCAAACTGCCGATCCATCTCACACTCCATTCTATCCTCTTTCGTTATGATACTTGAACTGCCTTGCTTGAGGCAGTAACTCACTCCCTTCCCAACCCGGAAGGGGCAATCCACCGGTTTCCGTCATAGAACCATGGCCTCAGATTTCAAGGGGCTGAATCTTATTCTGATAGTTTCACACTCGGCTGAAACTGCCCCAGTGCATGCTGGACATCACGGTGTGATGAAGCCAACAGAACCACATCATCTGCAAAAAGCAGAGATTCAATTCTGAGATCGACAAACCGGACCTCTTCCTCCCCCAGCTGCACCTCAAGATCCTGTCCATGAATATAACAAACAGGATCAGTAACAAGGGACAACCCTGGCAGAGGCCAACTCCCACCGAGAACATGTTTGACCTTACGCCGAGTATGCAGACGCAGCTCTCACGTTGGTCATACAGGGACCGGATGGCTTGTAGCAGCGAGTGTGAAAGATAATCCGTCAGAGAAAAATTTCAACCTGTGTGTGAATTGAGGAGGCGCAGATGAAGTTTCCCTTAATATACAGAACATGTGCATTTGCCCCCCACCAGTACGGAAGACATGAAAGAAGCAGAGCACTTTGATTTTGGCAAATAAAAAGACATATACACCATAAATTGATGCAGAAAAGGCACAAATTTGTGCATAAAATTCACCAGAATGCAGAAAACTGTTTGATGCTGAAAACTTTCTGGTAAAGACCGCCAGACCTCACAAGTGTGTTGTCCCCCTTCCATGTTCAAATAAAACCTACTCCCTTGCAAACACCACTATAAACTCTCACAATCCCAGTCTTAACCTCATTTTAATTAGAATAGAGAAGGGTAATGGAAAAGATGTGGAGAGTGCCGCAGAGCATCACTGAGGGCAGAGGAGTGTGATGCATGCAGCCTTGTTTCTGCTCGCTCCTCAGATGCTCTCAGCTCCGGTGCCAAATGTTAGCAAAGTCGGCTAAACAGATGCTGGCACCGCTTCCTCTATTGACATCCAGTGTGTTTGCCACTTCGGCTCACAGAGATTTCAGTAGCCACGCGGAGGAGGCTGAACTGTGATCAGGACACATGCTCTCTATCTCTGATATTTTCACTTCATGGCTGATGGTCAACAGACCTTATAACCATGAGACGTGGAAAGCCATCCAGGTATTTCAGACTGTAGTGTAATAAGAATAAGTAATATAGTACTTTTCCAAATCCTTGGTAAGGGCAACATATGAAACATGTCTCTGAGTCTAAACGCAGTAGAGATATAATGAGGATATTTTTACAGCATTTCATTTAGGTTTTCTTAGTCAAAGAAAGCATCTGCTAAGCCTGCCTGCATGGCCCTGATGTTAGTGCAACAATATTAATGTTAACATAACATACCATGAGGGCTGCCCCCGACTAAGAATATTCCTAGTTGACCTATAGTCATCATTTAGGGCCATTAGTTTACGATAGTAGTTTAACTATTAAATCATATATTTTAGGCGGGGCAACACAATGGTTTGAGTTTAAGGTGTGAGAAAGAATAGTATCAGTAACATTGTTAACACTGTGCTACATTACAGAGAAATACAAAACCGTACTAATGAACCTTCATTAATATAGGCCTATATTTTATCTACAAGTGCACGTCACACACTGAGCGAGCCGCCTGTTAATGACGCTGTGGGCTAATGGGCATGTATCGACTTCCATGTTTCAGATGATACATCATGTTTGTAGTCGACCAATGAAGATGAGTTTACATATCACCTTGGGTTCGTCCTTCACCTTCTCAAAATGATCCCACACTTTGGATTTCCTGCCCGACATGTTTTTAACTAGCCTGTGTGATAACTGCAGCTACCAGCCCTGGAAATTAGGGGCCGTACACATGCTGCATCTTTAACCACCTGGAAGATGCAAATGCGTGTGTAGGCCTATCGTCTGTGGGACAGATGTAAAGCTCTGGGTAGCCCTGCACTAACATGATCAATTTAATGTATTTATCAGACTGAATATTTACAGAAGGGAAAGATATCTGTCAGCTGTGATTGGTTTGTAATGTGACTCCTGACTGACTGCTGAGTGTGGCCACTTTCTGTGTCTGTCCTTTCAAATTAAATTCCCACATGGTCCAGTCATATAGGTTTTGATTTACTTTGACAAGGCGCAGCACCTAATAGAGTTTCACTTTTTTTTTTCTGTGACTAAGCGACCAATAAAATCTTGCCAACTCATGACCTTTCTAGACAACTAACATTTGGTCAACTATCAGGAGGCAGCCCCAATTTTAACTTCCCCAGTAATAAGCTGGTGTCTTAGAGCCAACTCATTTTGATGGGGTACAGCGCTGCCATTCGTGTTCATCAATGCTGGACATTTTCCAACCATGCCGCAGTGTGTACATTATTGAATTTTGTCCGCTTCAAGGCAACCATTAGTTTTTTTTTCATTTCAGTATCGTTTTGTAAATCAGCTTTATTGAGCTTTAAATGATCTATTAGAGTAAAGTGCAGTACATTAAATACATCATGTTTTCTTTCTTCCTCAGTTACCTCACTGTTACTGCAGTGTAACATGCAGACTGTGGAAAAGTTTAACTCATGTTTATCCTTGTACTGATTAAACACTGAGAGGCAGCTGCCAAACAAATCAAACTCCGGAAACAGACAACAACAAAACATATTGTGTTATTGTGAAAAGGATACATTTCATAACAATGCTGCCATACCTCAGCAAGCTATTGTTTTGTTTCTCAACAAATACAGAATACAATTAGCGACATCCGTGACCGCCCTAGACGGATACAGAGATACTGTTTTAATGGAAAACACTACATCCTGGTTCACCGTAATAATAATTGGATCAGATTTTATGGCTCTGTTTCTCTTTTACTGCTTCACTTATCTCTCTCCCTCCACATTATCCATCTTCCTCCATCCTCCACCTCACCAGAAGAAGTCATTCATCGCTCTGCCAACCAAACAGTGTTTTCATTATCACCTGCCTCCTCTCCCTCTGTCACCTGGCTAAAGACGGATGTCGCGGTCATCAACAGGAGACAGAGAAAGCCAGCCGAGTGTCGTCGCTCTTCATCTTTTGGTGTTTAGTTCAGCAGCATCATGTCGCTGATAACTTTTTCCACCCCTCCCACTCCTCTGCTGCATAATCGAACTAGATCTCTCTTTCTCTGTTGACTCCTCCCGGAAAAGTAAACCTCCTTCGCCTCCTCTTCAGCGAACATTGCATCAGTGTTTTGTTGTTCTTTCATTTCGGTTTTGTCTCAGTCAAGTTTTTTGTCACTCACGGGGATGGAGACTTGGCATGCACAGCATTGCAAACGCACACATGCACACAATGGAAATTTTTCTGCTGCTGTCTGCTGCAGGTGCGGTGGAGACTCAAGGGAGAGGGCAATGTATTTCCATATCAAAAAAAAAGGCAGGATGTGTGTGTTTGTGTGTGGCCAGGTGCAGTCTAAATCAGTACCTGTGAATAAAGTGTTTTTTTCCCTGAAATTTCTTTGTGATGTTACAGGTCATCATTCAAAAACTAAAGAGGAGGAGATAGGGAGCAAGCGAGAATATAATAGTTTATGATTATGTGTGTGTGTGTATGTGTGTGTGTGTGTGTGTGTGTGTGTGTGTTTGTGTGAAAGTTGGATAGTGAGAGATTTCAAGAGAGGAAGTACAGACACCAGCAGAGAGAACGCCAAAAAGACAAGAGACTAAGTAAAAATAGTTTATATATTCATGTTCCGTGTCAGATGATTAATTCATGAGTGCCTGATATATTCAGTTATTTATAAACTGCTTGTGTGTCACCACTGTTGACAGAAGTGTTGCTCTGTGTTCATGGAGGAAGTACACAATGTAAAATAGAACATGAAACAGCCAGCATGTGCTCAAATGATGTCACTGTAAAGGTTAGCAGTGACTGACGAGCAGTTCACACACAAAAGCTAATTTCTTAATATGTGTGTCACTGCTTCCCCGAACAGCTGCTCCTCTTTTACTTGTTATGTATTCTCATCCATGTTTCTCTCCCGAATCCAGATTTTGACCCCGGTCTCGGGCTGATGACTGGCATTACCCCCATAAATCCCATGATGCCCTGCCTGGGCCTGGCACCCCCGCCCCTCTCCCAGGATGCACCAGTTGTCAAGGAGATCATCCACTGCAAGAGCTGCACACTGTTTCCTCCCAACCCCAGTAAGTCTCACACTACAGTAAGTCATCGCAGCTGTTGTAACGGGTATAACAGTCTGTCCTTAATAAATCTTAAATTGTCTTCAGTTAGATATGTCATTCCTATGGTCCAAGACAGTCCAGCATTGTAAGTAAACGTTCAAAGCTCCAGACTTTGAACGCTATGACAGGGCTGTTCATTTACAAATTCAACAGGGCCGGATTTTAAAACCAGAAAATGTCGACATGACATTTTCAACAGCTAGCGACCTATTGAAAACTTTTTTTTAGCTTTTGAAATGAAAAAAGATCTTTTTAATCAAATATCGGACTGAGGAGAATCACAATGAAGAAACAGAATAAACAACACAAGCTACGAGTCACCACTCAAACACAGGTAAGTATTCGAGTAACACACACACACACACACACACACACAGCCTCTCTGCTGCTGTATCGCCTGCTGGTTCCGACTGTTCCAACCAGTCGTCACGGCAAGGAGGGGGAGGGCAGAACCTATCATGAGACACAAAGGGAAAAAGCAAGAAACAACAGAAAAGAAGGGGAAGCCCACCCTTCACCCTTAAATGCAAATGGCCCTATCAAGTGCAAGTGTTTAGGTTTGTCCATTCCAGGCTGTTGTAGAAACATGGCAGTACAACATGGCGATCTCCGTAGACGAGGACCTGTTATATGTAGATATAAACGACTCACTCTAAGGTAATGAAAACACAATTCTTGTTTTCAGGTGATTTATTATCAATCATACTAATTGTACTAATAATTATACACTAAATAAAGTATACTTATTACATTATGTTCCACTCCATGATTGAAATTTAACAGACGTCTTTGGCACTTGGACACCAGAGGGAGATGTTTTGTGACCGAGGGACATCTGAGCAGCAGCAGGATAAATCCCCCATAGAGTCCAGACACTGATGTTGGCGGCTGCTGACTCTGTGGCTGCTGAGGCAGATGAGCCTGATGATTTGGTAAAGACTAGATGGTGATGGGGAGCAGTAGGGTGATAGGCTGACAGAGAAGGTGTGTCACCGTGCTATTGGTTGATTGTGAATCAGCTGATAACTCAATTGACCTACCCAGACAATAACACCCAGTGAGCATACGTGCAAGGAGTGAATGGCAGGGTGAGACAGAAATTCATAGTCTAAGCATGACAAGTGTTGTCTTCCTGACTGAACTTTTGCTAGAGCTTCATCTGTTGGCAAAATGTAGAATAACCTCACTCTAATAATCATATTCCTACATAAAAGCTACCTCTGCACAGGGTCACATATATACTAACCTTCAGACCTACCTGCAATGCTTGCATAAGAAAAAGATGATTTGTCCAAAAGTCGGTCTTAAAGTCGGTTAAAATGATCTTCAAAGGTCTTAAAAAGCTTAAATTTTAGTGTCTGGACCCTGTTTAAGGTTGGCAGACACACTGTGAGCTGACCCGTCATCAGTGAGCCTGCGTATGTTTTATTTATCGATGCAGCAGTGTGCATTATCCATGACTTATCTCTGTCCCTGCAGTCTGGCACCTATGCACCAGCCAGATATTATGTGACAACGCAGAGGCAGCGAGTCTTCCTCCTTAACGTCACCTTTAATACCTCTTAGCACCTCTAGCCAGCAGAGCGTAGCTGATTTGCATTCACGTTTCATCAGGAAGGGTGGGAAGAGGGGGAGGTGGGGATTAAAGTAGGTGTAAAGGTGTGTGTATGCATGCGGGTGTGCACTTGTGTGATGTCTGTGAATGTATAATTGGAGGAGTGACCTCTGTGAGCACATAACACAGTGCTGCTGTCTTCAATATGCCAGGCCAAAGAGGTGATGGACTCTGTCCTCCTCTCAGCTCAACTCACCCTTATCGCTGTATCTCGTCTTAATCTCTCTTCACCTGCTCACTCTACTGTACCATATATACATATGTAGCCCGCTGCCTCGCTATCATACACTGCATCTCCTCTCCTCCCACCACGCAGTTAAGGGGTCAAATCTACTTAATTACCTGATCACCTCTGAGTCTTCCAACTACTACTTCCAGTTCAAAAGGTCTCTGTCAGGCTCTGACTGTTACATATGTATATATACCAACACACATGCTCCTCTGCACACACACGCCTGGACAAGTACACATTTGGACTTTTTATACTACAAAGTGTTAGTACATCAGGAGCTGAAAAATGAATCCTTGATCCGTGACAAAATGGGGTATGAAAATAAGGACAAAGGGGCAAAAAGTCTCTGCTCTCATAATTAAATTGTTAAATTGTCATCATTACTTATAGCTACAGTACTATCCCCTGTGGGCCATTATAGGTGATTCATGGTAATTGGCTTAATCTTTCTGTGGTGTGCTGAAGGAATAAAAGGAGAATTTTTCTTTCTCTACCAGGAGAAAATGTTGGCAGCACGTGTTGACCATACGAAACGGCAGGTCAACTGAAGTTAAACGGCCAATATTACATAAAACTGAGCAACAGAGGAGTGGAATAGGGAGTGAACACCATTCCTGTTCTCAGTGGTGGTTCTGGGATGGCTCCCAAAGGGGCCATTGCCTTTGTGACAACAAGTCCAGTCCCCCCTTATAGCCTTTCATAAAATGCCCCTGCGATTTATGCCAAGATGCAGCACAAATGTATTATTTCATATTTCAGTAGCAAAGCATCTGAATAGGATTAGATGATATAACAATATATGCTGTTAGATGATTTCCCTATACCATTTTATACTGAGGTTCTATTGCCTTTAATACCTCTGGTTTTATGGGGCCATTGAGGGTAATGTTACAAAAGCATTTTCAGGACAGCTTGATGACAACATGGGGGTTATAGGATTTTGCATTAATGTGATGGAGTCCCTTGATTTGTCAAGTATCTCATTTACATTCCCATCTGGTTATTATCTATCTGGAAACTTGATACGATATGATTTTTTTCTCTCCAAATAGTTACCTTTATGTTTAAATTCAATGAGAGAACCCTTCTTAACAGTTTCAGGTCAGAGTCACTCCTCCCAACTCTCACTCATTTCTGTAAACCAAGGATGTTTTACATTTGTATGTTGCATGTGTAGCAGATATTTTGAGACTCTAGGTTTCTATACCCTTCAGTTTTCAATTTGTTGATGTGACAGTGCTGTGGTTGGTTAAAGGCAAAAAAAGCCACCTGGTTAGGGTTGGAAAAACATGTTTTGGCTTAAAATACCACATTTAGTCACAAAAAAAAGTTTGGGAATGTTCCAACATGTTGCCAAAGAATACCTGGTTTTGTTGCTACACGGCTGCACATGTCCCAAACTCTCATTAAAAATAACTGTTTTTGTTGTTATAAAATACCAGCTCTTCTCACTTAAAAATACCCACTTTGGTTGCTACAAACACGTCTGGAAATTTCCCTACTTGTTAAATAATAACATCTTTTGTTACTACAAACATGGCTGAACATGTCCCAGCAACTGATTTAGTAGCTACAAACAAGGCTGGAAATGTTTTGACATGTCAACAAATCCCCACTTTTATCTCTACAAACATGGCTGGACATGTCCCAAACTCTTGTTAAAAAATACCTATTTTTGTTGCCACAAACACAGCTGGAAATGTTCCGACGTGTTGTCAACAAATACCCACTTTTGTCAGTACAAACACGGCTGAATATGTCCCGAACTCCTATTAAAAAATACACACTTTTCTCATTTAGAAGTACCCGCTTTTGTCGCTAATAACTAGGAACATGGAAATGTTCCAACAATTTATTAAAAAAATACCTGCTTTAGGAGGTCTCAATCAATGGCCTGCTGCTGTCTGCTGCTTGGCAACCATCTGCCGAGGTGTCATGTCATCCACCATCCCCTCCTCCTCTTGATGAGAAACTCAGCTCAAACATGTAATATGAACTACGTCATACGAATGAGAAGAACAGTTGTAACATATCCATGGTTTTCAGAAACATAAAGCCAACATTTTCATGATTTGATTTAAGAGCCACAGCTGGAACTTTCTTTCTCATTTGGCTGAAATTACATTCTCCCTAAGTCCCACAGAGCATAGTTTAAAATGACATTAATTTCTGGTTTAAATTCTTGTTTTTTATTTGTTGTATTATTTAATAATTTTGGTTATTTGTATGCCATCTGTTTGATATTAACCTGGGCGAATAAACAAAACTAAATTGTTTCTCAATGAATATTAAGTTGCCATATCAAGATATGTTATTGCTGCAGAATAAACAGCAAAATAAAACATTTCTTTCACACTTGCATTCTGCACATAATTAAACGTGATCCCAGTGTTTATTTCCTGCAGGAGGAACTTTCTCTCTGTCTGGAGGCTTTTTCAAGGCTGTCTCTCACGTCAGATGGAGAACACACCAATTTCAACCTAGACTATCAGCGAGAGCGTCTTTCTACAACCAGCTCGGGAGTCTGCCTTTGATACCAAGTGTGTTTGAGTTCAGTGTTCACCCTGAGTATAAAGCATCACTCTCATGTTTTAATGCAGACAGAAAAATTTATCACACGCGGTAAATTAATTAATGAATACTTTCTCTGCACCTTTAGGCCTTTACCCGAGCTTTGTGAGCAGAGATGAGCACATGGATGAAAAACAGTGTACCTCAGACAGAGTTCATTCTGCTCCTGAGGCTGAACAAGGAGTCTGACTGTAAACCGCTCGGCATTACAACACAAAAACCTGCCATAAACACTCACTGTATGACCCAAGGTTACATTCTTCGCTGTGTGAGCACTTTAACATTTTCTTTCCCTTTTGTCTTCACCCAGGCACAAAATCGAAGTCCTTAAGAGCCGTGTTAGTCAAAGATATTCTTTAATTCAAGCCTTTACTTCACCCTCCGAGTCGTTTTATTGTGTGTATGACAAAAGACGTACAATAAACAGCCAAGAGGCTAAAGAGAGATTAAAAAAAAAGAAGAGTCTTTAAGAGGGATTCATATGCAGCTCAGCGGGTACAGATGGCACGTACACTGCTAAGGTTAAGGACTCAATCTCCTATG